GTTGAAAAGAGTTAACAACAGTGAATAAGATGTATATGGATCTACAGATTACAGTAATATTTTGGATCTAAGCAGCATGCATGCATACACGTGAATCTGCAAAGTGATAGGACGTATTCTAAGTGGATGTACATTTACAGACTAATGGAATATTTTATATACAAATCTAAACAGTAGTGGGCAAATAAGTAAGATGTATTAAAATTGACTTACAGGATATTGGGACAAATATGTGAAAATACAGACTACAAATTGATGTTGCAAGTCAGAATATATACTAAAATAAAACATACAAGGTACAGTGACAAACAAGTACAGATAGTGCTGGTATATTTTGTAAGTTCCAAGGATCTACAGAGTACTGGTATATTTTTGTAAGTGGATCTATTCAGTATTGGTATATTTTTGTATGTGGTTCTACACGGTAATGGTAAATTATTTTTATGTGGATCTGCAGGGTATTGGTATATTTTTGTAAGTGGATTTACAGAGTACAGATATATTTTCTGTGGATCTAAACAGTACTGCCATATTTTTGCAAATGGATCTACAGAGTATTGGTAAAATTTTGTACATGGATTTACATAGTACTGCTTTATGTTTGTATGTGGATCTACAGGGTATTGGTATAGTGTTATACGTGGATCTACAGGGTAACAGTATATTTTGTACATGGAAGAAGTTGTACATGAATCTACAGAACACTGGAACATGCTGAACAATGAACTACAATGTATTAGAACATGTAAGTAGTGTAACAGAGCTGGGATTCAAACAGAGAGAAAAAATTAGTAATTTCATTAAACATTTACATACAGTCACTGAAAAAAAAAACAGCTAACAAAAACAATAACTGAGAACATGCTTAAGTAATCAAAATAGATTTGACTGAAAGTTTCTTCTTTCAATGTTATATAAACAAATCATCATAACACACCAATAATGAGATGTAGCGCTACTGAATAGCACTGCTATTTCACATTCTAGAATGACTCTCCAGATAATAAAAAACTTTATTTCAGCCAGTTTCACCACTGTGGCTTCATCAGGGCTAGTAGTTCTTGTACTATAAACCATGATGAAGCCACAGTGGTGAAACATTAGCTGAAAGTAGTAGCTAAAGATAAAAGTTTTTTTTTTATTGCCAAAATGTTTACATTCTGTGTTTCATGTATCACATCTATATGTATGTGTACAGACTGCACTAACTTGCTCATAGCTCTTAATGGCCGGCATAATTTATAGTTTTGCTTTGGAAGAAGGGTTCACAATATTAATCATGAATCATTCAAGCATGAGGAAATATTTTGGTAAGAAAGTGAAATGTAAATTGCATTAGCTGAACTACCTCCCATCTTGAGCATTACAGGTGCAATGAATAATCATTTCTACTTAAAAATGAAGTCAAATGTTGAAGATAATGCACAAAAACCAACAATTGGATATTCTAATAAACATCCATACTCATGCCACTGAAATTGGAGTGAAAACATTAATTATGACTTTGATAGCTGACAAGATAGCTATTGACTTGCAACCACTTAATTTATAAGCTAAGGGGCTGAGCTGCGAATGATGGAAATACCCGTCAGTCGCACATATATAACTATAACTCTATTCGAATGACGAAAATTACCGTTTCATTGTGATTGATGGCAACTCAGTTTTATCTGAGAGTCAGAAAATGGCAACTGAGCTGCCCCTGCCCCCCGTTAATGGGTTAATATTACACTTGGAGCCCAATTACATTGTTCAAAGTTGCAAGACAATAGCTTTGTGTGTTTAACACAAGCATGATTTAAAGAAACTTGAGCCATAAAACACCTCACAGAAGGTAGAAAATGTTTCATTGATAACATACAAAAATGTTTGTGAATATGGAGTCATTCACTAAGGTGACAGTTCATTTTTTTTAAGACTGGGAGATAAGAAGTGCTGTGCTGGGCACAAAGCCTGAAGAAGACAAACACAGTGCTGAGATTTTAAAAATTGATCTTTGAAAACTATCATTGAAGATTTCAACATTCAGGATATGTTTTTATATGTGTACATAACAATGTTGCTAATATCATGTCTGCCAATTCTTAAAAGAAATATAAACTACATGGTACACACTCTTCATTTATCTGTACATTCTGGACTCAGAAAGTCTTCTCTACTGACTAAGGTGATAGCTACAGAAATTGACTAATAGAGTATATGGTAACTACAGTTTTACTGCAATAAATTCATTACGGAGAAACAAAGGCAAATGAATTTGCCACACTATAAATGAATTCAAAGTTCAAAATATGTTAGAACAGCACTGGAGAAATATTTTGACAGTTGGCTGAGCAATGTTGTTTAATCACATTAGTTCTAGGAGAATGTATACTGCAACTAATATCTGTTACAAAACACTTGAAATGCTGGAAGAAACCTGACTTTACATGGAAGGGTTATGCAAGTGCTTGAAACCTCTTCAAGCAGCAATAAATAAACTATCATCAGAGAACACAAAGAAACTAACTACAGCACAGCAAAAAAAAAGTACAAAAAAACATGAAAGAGACAACATAATACATTGCATGCCTGATTTATTTTTTGAAGATAAGTCCTATAATTCATTTGAAATTAATGTATTTATAAGTGCACCTTTTGTGGATGTAAGATATAAAAATTTGAAATCCGTCAGTGCCAAACTGAAACAAATGGTCATTGAAAAGATAGCCAGCATGTTGCATACAGTACAGCATGAAAAAAAAAAGATAAAGATCCTGCTCAAAAAAGCTGCTAGAAGTCAGTGATACAGGAAGTGCTGTAGACTTACTGCTGGGAAAATCACACAGTGACAATAACACCGATTCTGAGATTCTGCACTTGCAAAAATCAAAATAGAAAATTACAGCAAAATTACATCTGTTTACATCAAACACATACCACAATTTTGGAATAAACTTTGTTGTTTGTTTCATTGGTTGACACATTTGGCTAATGCATATTTTAGTATTCCACTAATCCTGTACTTTCAGAAATTGTTCTAATTTGATGGGCATCTTGTAGCTAAGATACAAAATCGTTTAAGCCACCAAAATGTAAACAGAATTGTATTTCTAAACCACAGCATGTATACAAATGATAATAAAGTGTAGAGGAACAATTCTGTTATTTTCATTTTGCTATGAGTTTAACAGTTTTTACTAATGAACCATTTGTAAAAAATATTAGGTTTTAGACTATTATGGAGTATACTGAGTTTTTGTTAACCTCTTCATAGTTTCTATTTCTAACTACATAAGTAGTACTGGTACTAAACAGTCTGGGCCTCTTTTAATCGAGGTTAAATGTTTATGGTTAATAAGAGTGTTCAAACATTTGTTTAGAAAAATAAAATTACAGCACTTGCCATAATTTTTGTTGAATATGATATGATCATATTATAGAATTAAAATATTTTTTTAATATAATGTTGACATATTTTGAAGTTTAAATATTTAATAAATTAAATGGAATCTAACACTCCTAAGTAGATATAACATTACATTCTGTACAATATTAAACCTTTAGAGTATTGGTGCATGTTATAAGTTAATCTTCAATTACTAGTTCATGGAGTATATGTATCACAAAATAATTAATATGTGATGAATGTGCATTTAGAAAATACTAAAATTTCATCAATGAGTGACTACACATTACTGGTACATAGGTCTAGTATTGACAAAACACTAGTGTATGATATAATAAAGAAAGATGAATCACTAGTTGAAAATTATTAATTCTACTAATACTAATTTTTTTCATTTCGACTCACTAATGTTTTACTGATAGGGATGGAATAAAACAATATATCAAGACTTTATAAATATTTTTTCTCAGCTAAAGCAAACTGCTTCTCAAAATACCAATAAAATTAGAAATTAATCACACACAGATATATATATATAAAACAATGACCTTAAATATAGCCAAGTAACCATTCTGAGCAGCAACATGCAGAGGACTGTTATCGTAACGATCACTTCTATCAACTAGTCGTCTTCCTAGTGGGTGTTTCAAAAGAATCTACATAAAGCAATAAAATATATAATTGAATTATTCTTCCACTTAGTAATTCTAATCTAAAAAACTTCATTTACAAATACTATGATAAAAGTAACTATTTAGTAACTATTAACATTTGTTTCAAATGGGCCTATTATAGCTTTATCAAAGCCTAAGTAATTGGGAGAAATGCTGAGAAGAAGAAGAAAAAGGCCTATTATATTTTTAAACTAAAAATCCTTTTCAAAACTATTCATATAACCCTTAAAAAAATTCATAATTTGTTGATGTTGTTTAATTTTAACATTGTAAATATGAAAGTAATAAGGCAAAACTCTGGTTATTGGTTATAGAGATACCTTTTACAACCACTTCATACATATTTTTCGTATCTTACGTACAAGGAAACCAAACTAACATTAGATGAGAGCCTATACTTGCAGAGTGGATGCATTTCAAAGCCAAGTTTGGTTTGATTTATTTGTTTGTTGTTAAGCACATAGCCACACAATGTGCTGTGCCACCCATGAATATCGAAACTTGGTTCTTAGTGGTGTGAGCCCTCAGACTTACAGCTGAGCCACTGGGGGGGCTCAAAGCTGAGTTAATACATTTCTCTCCTTTCTATTTTTCAAGTCAAGAATAAAATATTTTAACTGTTTCACTACCAAATTCATAGATAAACAGCCTTCCAACTGTCAGGTTTGTTTTTAGATACACACAGAAGCACATATGGTGTTGTATAAGCTGCTCGTTACTTGTTATATCAACATGAAATTTTTAGACATAATTATCTGGAATACTTCATTAGTGAATATATTCTCAGATTGTACAAACTATTAAGCAAGCTAATAATATGCCAATTTATTTTCAAATTTTACAAATTAATATGTAACATTTTGATTTTTTCAATTCATTATAAAATACTTATTTTTTGTATTGCTATTTCTCAAGACATTTACTTAATATCACACTTTTCAAGACTCAAACAAAGATTATATAGTGTGTCTCATGTAGGTGCCCATGCAGTGAAAGAATAAGATTGTTTACAACAAGCATGAGTGACCATGACCAAGCGTTTGTGTTTTTTTTTTTTTATAGCAGAGCCACATTGGCTTACCTGAAAACAAAACAGAGTATATATACACCTGGAAAAAAGTTAAGCACCCCCGTGTTTTTTTCAAGTGATTCAGATTCGACGTTCTTGTGACTGATTATAAATTACCATTCAATCTAAACGTGTTTATCAAATGAAATTATGCATTATTGGGCACAAGAAAACAAGATT